GCTAGTTTCATCGGCTGAAGCCGCCATGTTCTTTAGACTGAACTGTCGCGCTTCTCGTTGCGTCACACCTCAACTCGCCTCAAAGCTAACGCTGATTGGGCATTCGTTTGGTGAACGGCTCCAAATTTTCTTTAACGGAGAGTCTCCAGACTGATTTGCGAGTGAAACCTTGAAAGCTCGCGAGATCAGGATGGTCTCACGAGCGTAGCTTGTCGCGTCATCAAAAGTTTCGGCTGTGTTTGTTTTATTTTTTGGTGTTAAATGTCTATCGGCTAAAAACCGAAAATGCACTTTTCGTCTGCAAATTTTCGGTGTATCTTTAGTTTAGCCCCTTACAGATTTAACAAGAGTGAATACGGGGTGTGCAAGTTGCGCAGTGGTTAGTGTGCACGACCCATGTATGGAGGCCTTAATCCTCGAAGCAGGTGACCCGGGTTTGAATAAGGCTGGTGGTCCTTTCCTGCATGCCTCTCCCTCTCTCTCATACCCCCTTCTCTGTCAGTCTACTGTCGAAAAAACAAGCCACTAGTGCTGTTAAAAACTATATATATAAAAAAAAAAAAGATAATCTGCCAAAATGGGTCAAGACATCGCTTTACACACTTCTTGTTTTAGTCTACAGCCAAGTGCTTAATGGCCCCACCTAGTGGTAAAGTTTTTATTGCTCCTTTAATTTATTTATACATTAAAATGATGGCCTTTAATAGCCTCTGTATTGTAAACAATCTTTACCAGTTTGAGTTAAACCAGGTGTTAGCATTTAGCATTACTCTTGGTCAGAATTTTACTATTATTTGGAAGCAAACATTAAAAGATTATGGAGATATTTTAAAGTTTCTGTTGCTTTGGAGCAGCATTGCTTTTAAAATTGATTGAAAAGCCAGAGGTTAAGAAAAGATTTCTGGAAGACAGGCTGTATGCCTTCATTGTTCATAATGTTATTCTGCTCACTTCTGAATTCTGTTTGCATAGATTTACACTTAGCGTCAGTGTTTTTGTTGATCAGTCAGGGTTTGACAAAGGCTTCAGAAATAGTAATTCAGACCTTAGCTTGAAAATCTGTCGTTTTTAGGGTAGTTCTGTATATTCAACTGAAAAATGTAACGTCTTTGCTGTGTGATTTTGCATTGAATAATTCAGTGTTTACCCTATCAGTAAATCTTACTCTGTATTCAAATAAATCGTATCTTTTCTGCATTTGGAGATGTCCATCGTATCAGCCACAGAAGATAACTGCAGTAATCCATCCCGCTTCCTGTTGGATGTCTGACCCCATGTCTAAAGGTAGAAGTCTAAATGAAGAGCCACAATGCCTCGATGCCTCTTTTCCTCCATCTTTTTCTCTCTGATATCTTCATATTTAAAGATTTAACAGATACAGGAAATGGTTAACCTTAAATCCTCTTCATAGTGGAGGCACAGACAGATTGAGGTTTAGATGGATTATTTCCTGGATGATTTCTTTCACTGGGCTAAATGTTTGCACAGGCAGTCTGTTGAACTGCTGCTCATCATTTCTGTGGGCCACCAGCTCCGCCTTCATCGCCCACGCTGCCTCCTGTCTACCTGGCACACAGCGCGAGACGTCAGGTGATGGAGGCAGCTGTGCCTCGCTCCAGGATCTGTGTCAGGCTGGATCACGGTGATGCTGACCTGAAAAGAAAGCGGCCTGCCTGACCCCATCAGCAGTCTGCTGGTTTTACACCTGGAGTTCTGGTTTTAGTATTTAAAGAGAAGGGAGTTTAACTCGGTCTGTGAGGACCTGACGGGCATACCTGTTAGTATGACTGTGGGTCATAAATGGTTTTATCTGAAGCAGTAAAAAGCTTTGTGGTGTGGCACTCAGGCGATGTCGGATCCATTTTATCTGATCTCTGTTTTCTCTGTGCCTGAGAGGGTGGGGCGTTTTTATTATGCTGGTGTAAGTTAATGTTTTCCAGCTCTGACCTTGATTTTAGTTTCACCTCCTGAATCACAAGCTCACCGGACTCCAACTTTGTGTGTTTCAGAAACTGGCGGCCGAATGTCAGAGTGCCGGCTACAGTGGCACGCTGATCCCCTACAAATGTGACCTGGCCAACGAAGAGGAGATACTGTCCATGTTCTCAGCCATCAAAACGCTTCACAAAGGTGTGGACGTGTGCATCAACAACGCCGGGCTGGCTCACAATGAACCCTTGCTCTCCGGAAAGACAGAGGGCTGGAGAAACATGATAGATGTAAGTGAACGTGGAAGCACTTTACAGAACCAGCAGGCAGAGGGAGGGTTGGAAATGCTCGGCTGTAGTGAATGAAAGGGCTGCTATTGTAGCAGAGATACAAGTTATAAATTAATGAAGTTGATTGATCTTATCGAGCGGCTGACAATTCACTGATAAGCGGCCATCTTCTTAAAAGACCTGAGATTTTCCTCGTATCAAGAGGATATTTCATGTCATAAACTGCAAAATATGACTTCACAACCTGCTGAATTTAACAAAAACAGACATCATATATATATTTTAACACTTTTTTGTGCCAGCTTTATTAAATTGACTCAAAGAACTAAAATATGTTTTCTCACACATGAAAACACTTATTTATAAGATATAACCTATTAGGTTACTGAAAAAAACAATGTTAATAAAATCTCTGAAATGTAGTGTGACCATCATGTTACAAATGTTTAGCGAGGCCCTTCACTTTTCTATCATCTCATCCTCTTTGGAACACAGTACAGTTCAATTTATGTGATAACCTAAAGTGGTTTTGAAATCCTGTTCTCTTTACAAATCCACATATATGTTAATAAAAGTAAGACTGTTTGACTCTTCAAAAATTTAGAAACATGGCTAAAAAAAAAAACACTTTTAGACTATTTTTGCGATTTGCTTCCACTCTTGACGTAACAAGGGAACCTTGGTGCATAAACTCACAGCACAGACAGTGCTGAACAAAATCAGACACATCAGATGAGTTAAGGAATTGAAGAACCTACCTGATTGAATATTTCAACCTTAGAATCTGTAGTAACCCATTTTATTTATTCTTTTTTGCAATAGATTAACATTTCCGAATTATGTTTTTTAGGAGATAATTCAAAGAAACCATTAGGGGAAAAAAGTACAGTAGTTTTTATATTTGAAATTAAAAAAATGTCATCTTCTACCATATATATCTACATGCTATGTTTATAACATATAATAATAACCTGGAACGGTGGATGACATCAGTATAATACAGACTATGAGCAGATCTGGTCTCTGGTGGAGATTCTATTACGGTATATATTAAAATAAACATGATATTACTTGTTTTTGGTTTTTCATTGCTTACAATAAGTGAGGAGGGTCTATTAAGTGCTGAGCCTCATTCATCTGGTGACAGCATTTTCTTTTTTATATTTTGTTTATACTGGAGCCACTAAAATGTGTAGAAATCTCATCTCCCTTCCATCTGTAACAGATAAGGCCCTTCTTTAGCAAATTCTGACTCTTTCTTTTATTTTTTTTTAAGATTTGTTTTATTAACAGAAGCTTTTACAGGATATTTATGATGTATAGCAAGAGTTTACAGTTATACTGAAAGTTGTATTTTATAAAAAAAAAAAAAAAAAAAAAGCTTTTACAGGATATTTATGATGTATAGCAAGAGTTTACAGTTATACTGAAAGTTGTATTTTATAAAAAAAAAAAAAAAAAAATCTTATTGCTACATAGTCTTACAAACACAACATACAAGGACGATGATTTTTGATTTTTAACACCAAAAGAAAACAACAAAACAAAAAATTACAAACTTTTCCCCTCCCACTCCCCACCCTCCTTTCTTGAATGGTTCTCAATATCCTTTCATTTCTGTACACAACCCATCCATCTGACATTCACATTCACATTCGTATAATTCAACACACTACTCATATCAAGGTACATAATTGAGGAAGTTATATAAGAACCTGCAAAGTGCTAATTTGAAGCCGGTCCAGAAAGGCTCACTCCAACATAGACAGCTGGGTCCAGAGACGGCAGATTGTCTATGAAGTGGCCCCAGATTATTTCAAAGATTGCATGTTTTCCTCGAACATATATAGTATCTTTTCGGGTGTGCAGTAAGATAGAAGCTCGTAGATCCTTGACACTTCTTTCTTAGTATGGTTTGCCAAAAAAATCCTCAGATCACATCAGGCAGTGTTCAGTCAGTGCAGCTCAGCTGTATGCTACCCTATCAGTTTTACAGCTGCTTTTCAGGCTGCGCTAATTATCCTCACTCCAGAAAAGTTTTGCAAATTCATGTCTGGTCTTGCAGCATTCCTACCGAGCAGCAATTCTCCGTGTTACCAGATGAACGCTGTTTTTGCCTAACCGGAAGTGCAATATTTATTAATGTTACTTCTTGCAATAACTCAGTGCAATATATATGTATATATATATACTTCTTTTACCCCGTATATAGCTAGCTCTTAGCTCTTCGTTATATAAAACATATTTATTGTGCAGGAATAAGGTCTTAGCTCTGTAACACTGGTAGCCAAGAAATCGACATTTCGTTGTCAAGATTCACCTTGTGTTTTTTTGTGCAATGACAATAAAGGAAGTCTAAGTCTATATATTGGAGGGAATGTAAAATGCATCCAATTCTCTGATATTTTCCAATTCTCAGTCATTAATCATGTCTATCTTAGCATTCTTTGGTCATTTAAAGATATAAATAGGTCATTTCAGTGACGTAATTACATTATTTATGGTGACCTGGATGAATTTCTGGTTGCAGAAGAACAAATGGTACAGATCAGGTAATGACTACTGCCAACTACCGACCTATGTGGCATTACTTCTCTTGCTTATACCAGTGAGGCTCCCCTTAGGAGTGAAGAGTGGCGCCCTCATGTGGACGAAAGAAACGCCTTAAGTGGATGGTATTAATTAATCCAATGGAGCAATTTTGAATCTAAAACCATTAATTGACATGGGATCCTAAGATGATTATTTGCTTACATCCCTAGTGTGTAGACTTTTCGATGTTAGAGAAATCTGGTTGTGTGGAAGCCGACACACACAGGCCGCTTCAGAGGCTCTGCCACAGCAAACTAATGAAAGCCAGCAGTATTTCTTCTGGCCGGGACTCTTCATTTTGATTCACTGAGCACTTGACCACCAAAGATCCCCCCACCTTCCCGGCTCTGATTCTTTGTCTCCATGGTCCAGCATTCGTGACGCTCTCTCATCTGTTGTCATGGCAGCCTCCACAAAAGTCCATAGTGGTGTATTTTTAGCCTGTGTTTAATCTGTACGCTGACCTTGTGTTACCATTACGGTGGCGGCACACTGATGTCTGTCAATGTCACCGTGAGCGAAAAGCTTAATAGACAGAGGCTGGACAGGTACAGCCGGTTCACTGAGTTTATCGCCATGGCTGAGTGAACATGAATCACCTGCATACATTACTGTGCCTTTCAAAAGTATCCCAGCTATGTCTTCAATGCATCTTATCTAAAAGGCTAACTTCAGGTAACATACCTGGAAGGAGAAAGTGAAACGGTTTTCTCTTTACCTGTTTGTCTGAAGGAAATGGCCGATCCTGAAGGATACTCATGTGATGTTAAAGTGGATGTTTCCCACAAGGAACAATGCAAACCTGTGGAACAGTCTCTCCTTTTCAAACAAGGCCAAAAATATAATTTTTTAGCCTAGATGCAAAAAGCCATGTGGGTAAAGAAAAGCACCCTCCCTTAGAGAAGAATGGCAGTGGCAGCATCATGCTGTGGGGAGGCTTTTCCGTAGAGCTAAATACACAATTATCTTAAAAGATATGAGGTTTAACTTCCAGCTGGAAAATAACTTTAAACGTACAACCAGGGTTATGATAGAAGTTTAGATGCTGCAACTAACGATTATTAAGCAAATGGATAATCGGTCAAATTTTTTTTTTGAATAATAATCGGATAGCAAAAGGTTACATTAAGATTTTTTATGTTAAACCAAGTGAAACTAAAACTTTTGATCTTCTGTTGAAGATCTGGATATTGACAGACAAAAAAGTTTTTTTTAATCTTAAATGCAAAATGTTTACATATATATATTTTTTTTATTTGGTATAATTGGTGCTCACGGTGGGTTGCTATGTCAGCTAAAGTAATGTTTTAAAGTCTGTACATTCCAGGTAATGATTAATTGATTACTAAAATATCTGACGATTATTTCAATAATTGATTAATCCCGATTAATTGTCTCAGCCCTAGTTTGGAATAAAGCATTTTAATATGTTAGATTATCTCGGTCACAGTCAGCACTGCAGATAATCTGATACTTTTTGTTTGCTTTTTAAGGCCGATGTCCATTATTTCAACACAAGTCTCAATTTGGGGGGAAAAAAAATACATTTATTAATGAATCGAACAAAAAATGGTAGGAGCCGTAACCCAAGCGCTCCATGTGATCTTAAGGCCTGGCTGCTGAATGGGCCAATGAATCAGTTAACACGCCCGAGAGTATCAGATGGTGCCAATTAAAAAAAAAACGGTTAATATCAGCTGGCTGTCGTTCAGTTTGTAGAGACGACCTACTTCCAGTTGAATCTTAGCATTGGCAGTCTCTCTTAGCTGGAGATGTTTTGAAGAATCAGTTAAAACGTGCAAAGTTTTAGGAGAAGCTGCTGTAAACACAGTAACAAAAAAAAATTCTCAGCAAATAGCGATGAGTACCGTTAACATTTCACAATACAACGTATTGTTTTAAACATTTATTGTAAGGAGGTGTTTGGTCCCATCCCAACATCACTTCAAACATATGAAAATGCATCTTCTATGTTGCTGACGGCTAAAGATGCCAAATGCAGGAACTGTAGCATTAGATCGTGGGTTGTTAAATATTGTGCACCCTTGTTGCGCTTAATTCTGTTAGCTCTGTTTGCAGCAGAAGCAGCTACTGATGTCATCACTCGCTTGTTCATGCAATGTGTTCATTTCAGCCTGGAAAAATGGTTTCAACTCCCTCTTTTCAACAATGATGCTTCACATACCAAAACAGGTACTATCTGATTTCACATAAATGGGTAATTCGTAGGACCCACTGAATTTGGTCGGTACCTGTAAAGAAACCCATATCTACCTTATTTACAAAGGAGGACTTGATAGAAGTGCACAGGTCTTTCTAATTTTGCACAAATGTTTGTAATCATTTCATAATGAAATACTAGAAGACAGTAGCTGATGAATGTGTTCCTTTGACTGCAGGTGAATGTCTTGGCCTTATCCATCTGCACCCGCGAGGCCTACAAATCAATGAAAGAGAGGAATGTGGATGACGGCCACATCATCAATATTAACAGGTATGTTTGCTCAAAAATCCTTTAAACCAGTCTGAGAACTAAACAGCAGTTTAAAGTTGTTTTAATCCAAAAATAAAGTTTAAATGTGTTTTGCTTACAGTCCTGTTTCTTACAGATTTGCCGTGACTTTAAATTGTTGATATCAGGCTGAAACAACCTGAGCAAATTTGAAATAATTTCATTTGTTAATGGAACAGCAGTTCAAAACCAACTTGTTCATTTAGAAAAAAAAAATCGAATGCTTTATAAACCTAATAATTAGTTCAAATCTAACTCTGGTTTCCAAAAAGAGTCTTTAATGATGCATAGATTATGTTTTAACCAGGACGGGAGCTACGTTTCCACATCAGGTTGTCTACTTGGTCAAATCATCATTCGAAAACTGTATCTTGTATTTTCTAAGGTTTTATTGCCTCGATGTTAAATGTTTCTTAGAAATGCAGGTGTAAAAATAAATGAAAAACAGAAAAGAAAGTGAGTGAGTAGGAAATGGGTTTCCACAACAGTGCTTGATAAGAATGTTTGATATGATGGTTCAGAGGTTTACCGAACAAAAAAGTCCTGCAAACCCCCCAAAAAATAGAGAAATACATGAAACACATGCAAAGAAAAATGCTTTAAGTCACAAAATAACTAGGATTTAAAAAAATCTCCAAAGTAGTTTTGCATGACAGATGTGCTCCAGACCACTAGGGGGAGTCAACCGTCCACTCACATGGGACTGAACCCTTAATAGAGATGTAGCTGGGAAGCTCAGGAAAACATCAATTTTCTTTCTTCCCTCTGACTGCCTCCTGGGGAAACATCTTGTTTATTTCTATACAAAGGGTCAATAGACGTTAATTAGCAGTATTGTCTTTAGTTTGGTCCAATATAGTCAGTGATTGTCTCCCCCTGGTGGCCTGGAGCACTTCTGTTATGTAGATCTAGTTTACAGCTTATTTTGTTTTGCAGTTCATTTTCCTACTTGCAGCAATTTTGCATCCATTTTTCTTTGCCTTTGGTTTGCATCTTTGCTTTATATATATGTTTGTGGCATATTTTATGTCTGCAGTGCATCTGCTATTTTTCTTCACTCTATTTTCAGTGATTGTCACACTTTTGTCCTTGGCATTAGTATTTTACTTTAGTCTTATTATTCTGTTTGCTAGCCTTATTTTATCCTAGCATTCATACATTTTTTTTATTACCACCCCTCTGCAACTGCAGTTTTTACCATTTTTAGTGTCTTACTTTAGCTTTATTAGGATGTTTAAGTTTGTAAGTGAAGCAGTTAGTACATTAAAGGTTTTAAAACATATGAACTATTTTTACGGTAATTTGTTCTTGAACTTAGGTGAAAGTGTAAAATGTAATTATTCTCTCTCTTGGTTCTCCTGTTTTCCCCTCTCTCTACCCCCTCCAGCATGGGCGGGCACCGACTTGTGCCCAGCGCTGACGAGCATTTCTACTGTGCCACTAAATTTGCCGTGACCGCTTTAACTGAGGGGATACGGCAGGAGCTCCGGGAAGAAAAGACTCACATAAGAGCCACGGTGAGTGAGCTGCCACTGTTGGAGTTAAGATCACGTAACTCTCCCTGTCGACGTAATACCGAGGGCGTATGCAGCCTTGGCAAGGAGAGTAGATCAGGAAAGGAGGAGTGAACATGAGGAATAACAGTTCATCTGTCCCTGCAGTGTATATCTCCTGGTATAGTTGAGACGGAGTTTGCCTTCCGACATCACAACAGTGATCCAGAGAAAGCAGCTGCGGTCTACGAGAGTATAAAGGTGATCATTTGTGCATTTTTTTCACACCAATAAGTAATGTGAACGGTCTAAACGACAACGCTTTTTTTTTTTTAGTGCTTGAAAGCAGAGGATGTAGCCAGTGCAGTCACGTATGTCCTCAGTGCCCCTCCTCATGTTCAGGTACGTTTCTCTGTTAGCTGTTCTTTATTTTCCCTTTACTTTTGTCCCGCTAGTTCTCCATTCACCTTGCTCATGTTTTCCCTTTCTTCCAATAGATTGGAGATGTGCAGATGAGACCAGTGGAGCAGATATCATAGCAGTGATTATGGACGGCAGCCACCACAGCTCCTTAGCGACCTCTGCTGGCCATGTGGGTTAGGAGAGAGGGCGTGGGTGTGTGTCTGAGTCTACAGGAGCTTAACCATGAAGAGCTGGAGCCTTAAAGAGGCTGTGCAAGGAAAAAGCATGCATGGACTCTGTAAACCACTACAAAAAAAATAAAATACTACTGAACAGCTGCTGGTCTCGGTCCTGAGCTGAACCGACTTTAAAACCGAAGTAGGAACAAATCGGGACAGAGTTGCTGCTGCGCTGTGTGGCCATCTGCACGGCTGCCACCTCAGAGGGAAAACGTCATTGATTGCACATTTTGTTTTGTTTCTTTGTTTTGTTTATCTAGGTTACATGGCATATCTTTTGGAATTTTAATTAAAACAATAACAATTGCTGTTTATAGGAAAAATGTTTTCCTTTTTTAAAAATAAAGAATCTGACTTTTAATTACAAATCTAACTGTGGTCTTACACAAACTAATCTTAGACAGTGCTAATGTCATGCTTTCTGTGAGTAACCAGAGACGGTCTGTACGTCCCACTCCATGTTTAACTCATCTCACAAACACATTCAGTTACCCTCGTTTGGATCCGACCACTCCTTACAGGTGTTCAGGGTACATTTAGGAAGACATACTTTTGTTTTCTTGCACACTCTGGGTTTTGTTTTTTTAACGGTCCATCTATTTGCTCATGTTCTGCACTTTGGTGTGCAGAGAAGGAACCCAACTGTGCACATGCATCCTGTTGGAATTTTCTCATGTACGGAATACACTAAAATAAATACTGTTTCCCACATGTTATCCATGCTTTGTGTAATGTCTGTTTTTTTAAGTGTATAATTGAAAGAAAAATAAACAAACTGGACTTTGGTCACAAGTTTTTTCAAATTTATTTTTCATTATGTCTTACATGACAGAGTCGCATGACCAGTAGGTTTAATCTGCAGTTCCCCGTTGTATTTGACCTAATAAATGAGTCAGCAGCAACAAGATCATGACAGTTCTACCCTGGCTTGTAAATGTTCAACAGTGCTAAAAGAAAACTGCTGCTTTACTGTGTTGAGCAGATTTGACCAGGAGATGGTGCACATGTGCAAAGTAAAATCAATAAATAAGGCCAGTTCTATGGGTGTGTGATGATAAACACCATCCATCCATCTTCTCCCGCTTATAGGTTTGCAGTGGGGCAGGTATGGTAAATCCCATGAAAGGAAAATAAACTAAATTAAAAGAAAAGTATTCAATTATCATTAGGTTAAAATAACTGGTAGCTTTCATTCAGCAGAATCTGAATAAAATTAAACATTCATCCGATCATGGTTCTAATGGTTGTAAAATGCTTCCGTTTAATATCTGGAGAAGACATGGATTAATGATTAGCTGGAGTTTATCTCATGCCAGGAGGTGGAGGAGCATTTTGAGCAAAACACCAAGCTGGTCAGAAGTTTGTCTCCAGGGGAGATTTCTGGGGGTCAGTGCTGGAGCTGATGATGGAGATGGACGGTTCTCTGTTTCCTCCTCCCCTCTCATTATACAGACCTTTAGTCTTATTCAAAGCATACGGTGTGATCGACAGCTTCAGTTTCTGGAAAGGATAAGCAGCAATAAAATCACTTTTAGGTTATGAAAAAAATACTTTGCTGATAATGACTTATGTAAACCCCTTTAAAATAAACTATTATTTCCTTGCAGTGGCAAAATCTAACAATGAAAATATTAAATAGATTTTTTTTTATGACAATTCAACAATTTAGCTTATTTAGACCAAGGGTTCTCAAAATAGGGGTCGGGACCCCTGAGGGATCAAAACCACATATGGTAGAGGTCTGCAACCTGTGTCTCTTTAGACACTTAACAATTATTCTTCATCACTTTGGCTAAAAATGATGAAGAGCCAGCAGATCCTCTGAAAAATGGATGTATATTAAGAAATGCTGGTTAGTGTTTTCTTTAGTGAACAGTAGCATTGAATTTCCAAAATGAAATGACTTTAAATATAACAGTTTTTTTTTTCTTTACATGATTTCCCACATATTTCAGAAACCCTTTGGAGATGTATTCATTCATTTTTTGCTAGATATTTTTCTTCATTTTAAAACCAAAAATTTTAAATGGCAAGTTAACTCTTTAACAAGGACAAATATTCCTTTGGTGGATGTATATTAAATGCAAATTATAATTTAACTTTATTGATCTCTGTGAGGTTAAATGTCTTTGCTCAGGGACCCAGAGTGCATGCTGTGGGGATCAAACCGGATATTTGCAACCTTCTCAAAGCACAAGGGCACTGCTCTAACCACAAGGCCAACACTCCCCCACATAAATACGCTATATTTTTCTTTTTTTTTTTCTTTTTTAAAAAAAGGTAATGTTTGTGGCTTTTTTATTAGCTGGACTGAGGTCAAATATGGCTCTTTGGATTGTAAAGGTGGGGTCACAAGATTTTTTTTCACAATCATTGGGATGTGATACCTGAGAGTCAAAATATATAATTAAATACATAAATATAAATGTCCTATGAAATAAAAGAATAGTATCATAATTTAAGTAGATGTAACATTTATTTATCTAAAACATTCAAATTAATATACTGTTTAATTGTAAAATGCGCAATTCTATGATTAAATGTCTCAATAAATACAATTGCAAAAAATTTAAATGATAATTTAAATAATGATATGTTTATTTATAAATGGATATAATGAATTAAGTGAATGTGTATTCTAAGGTGGTCCCAAGTCTTTTGTTTTGTTATTTTTGGGATCACAGACAGAAAAGTTTGGGAAGCTCTGATTTAAAAAGTCTCCAAAACAACCATTAGATGTGTTATAAATACCAACCAGTTGCTTAGGGGGAGATAACGACAAAATAAAACAAAAAAACAACCTTTTCTGTTCCTAAATCACAAAGTTAAACATGTTGAGTTTGAGGACACAATAAAGATCAAGTGCTTTATCCACAAAGACTGGGTGGGTCTGTTCTGAACCAAATAATAAATACATAGGAAAAGCCATTTATGTTGACTCTTAAATGTAGTGGATGTGTCATGCTCTGGGCTGTCTCTTTAAACAGATCTGTATTTTATAATATTCATATAACCTTAATGGTTGATATTAAACAATGTTTTTCTATCTAGTATTTGAACACTGAAAAACAGACCTGAGAGCTAGCATTGCTTTTATAATTCAGTTAAAAACCCACAATCATGTTCTGCATTTCTGTCTCATGACTCCCCACCTTCCAGGAACAAAAACAGGAACTAGATGGAAATAAACAATGGATGTAAATATCCACCAGGTTTTACTTTTCTGACCGCTGTGTTATGCATCCCTGGTTTTTTACCATCGTTAGCTTTTTAAAATACCAAAACGATTTAGAAAGAACTTCTCCTAAATTTCACGTGGATCATCTTTAAGCAGTATTTGATCCAGACATTGAGCCAAAAAGCAAAGATATTTTGCCCCACATACATCTCAGTGGTTTTCTACGACCATCTAAGTCCCCAGAACTAAATTCTGCAGAAAAGGTGAAGAGAAGAAAACAGATCTAAACATGAACCTTCTCTCTATAGGCCTGCAGCCCAAACATTGATGCCCTATGTGCTAAGGGAGGTTTTACAAAGATCACTACTTACTGATGATACTGTAAAAAAAAAAAACATTTTCATTTAAATGTACTCAAATTAAAAATAAGCATTTCTGTTTTTAAGGCTGAAGTTATGTCAGTTACCTCTGTTAGCGAGCCTGGTAGCACCCACAAAGTGTGAATGGCCCCTAAAGGTATCCAGATGATGGAGGCCAGGGCGATGATCCAGCCCACACCCTGAGCCCAGGGAGGGAAGACGTAGTTCCCATAGCGAGCCGGCTTGAACTGGATGATGGAGAAGATCAGGATGACCTGGAGCAAAGAGACCAGGGTTAGTAAAGAAAGTAAAGGAACCATAAAACTTGGAGAATTTCTTTTTTTTTTCTGTTTTTACTGTAAACCTACTGTGATGAGCACGGGATCAACTATGAGCCAGCACAACCTGAAGAAGATGTTTGGTCGTCCTCCTGTCATCTCTTCCAGGTTGCTTGAGAGTCTCTTTACACCTGACCAAAGAAAATATAGTAAAACGTCTACAATGTTAAAAGCAAATAAAAAAAAAAAAAGCTGAAAAGCAACTTAAGCTCACCGTAGCTCCAGCAGATGGCAATAATCTCAAAAAAAGCAAGGAACATGATGGACACAATGGCAGTGTAATGGTCCATCAGCTGGAAGACATAGATTCCTACCTGGAATAAGAAAAACAGTTGAGGATCTCCGCTCGGGTCCTTTGGTTAAAAACTGCTAAGCTGTGAGATTCACCTGCATGACACATGGGATCCCTAACAGAAGGGCCACACCGCAGAGTACAAGAATGAAAAACTCCTTCCTCTTGAAAATCCTCAGCACTTGGTGGTAGAATTCATCCATGAAACTGGTCACCATCACCTCTACCATCGCAAACTGCCGCAAAAAAAGGGATTAATCAGAACGTTTATACCTGTTTTGTATTTCCATTGGGAGAAACAGTTAAATTCCTCTGCATTTTGTCACATTATTCCGTAAAAATTCAAAAATTTCCACTGGGCTGGGTTTCCAAGATTTTAATTTTTTTTTTTTTTTTTACGGAATGACTATGACCTGGATGACTGAGAACCTTCATCAGCATATTTGTCACATTACAACCAAAAATACAAAATATCTTTTTTGCTGATTTTATCTGACAAAACACAGTTTTAGTGAAAAGGGATCATTGAAGTAAAATAACCTGCAACCTAAGGCCTTTTTAAAAGAGATATGAAAGGCCTTAGAAGTGTTTTTAGAGAACATTTAACATCATGAAGACCAAAGAACACAGCAGATAGGTCAGAAAATTATATGGAGAAGTTTTAAAGCAGCATTAGGTGAGAAAAATATTACCTAAATTTATTAGTTTCACATCTCGCAGAGCTCTGCTTAATCCATGGTGTGAAAAGGAATAAAGACTAGCTCTGCCGCAAACCTACTAAAACACGGCTGTCCACCTAAAATAACAGGCCTGGTAACATCATCTTTGATCAGAGCAGCAGCCAAGAGGCAGTCTATTACTCTGCAGGAGCTGCAGAGATGCACAGCTTAAACACAGCAGCAACTATGGAGAATAATGTGTTCTGATCAAATGAGACCAAATATAAAATTTAGGCATTTAGAAAAAGACTATGTGGGACAGAAGGTTAACCTCGTCCATTACTATACATCCAATTATCTGTTTATTCATTCCTTGAACGGTGGAGGCAGCATCATGCTGTGGGAATCAATCTCAAAACAAGATCAGAAAAACATTTTGGCTCGATCTAAGATTGTAAGACTTGGTTAAATGGATAGTTTTTGCAGGGAATGGATCCTTCCAACATATCAC